GAATTAGGGACTATTAAATGCAACTTGTCCTTCGTCAAAATACAGCGGGCTAAATCAGTTGAAAAAACTCGGGGTGGGGGATGGGGGGGAGGGGGGGGGGGGGGGGGGAGGTCGTCAGGCCTTCGGCTCAGCCTTAAATCAGTTACAAAAATTGACACACCGGTGCGGTGGCACAGCCCCGGATCAGCTGTGGTGGCACAACCTAAAACCAGGAGCAGCTGTATTGATACAGCCTCGGATACGGCGGGTACGAGGCATCTGTACATCTTGCTGCGACCGTCACTGAAGCCGGGAATCCCACCTGGGACGGCTTCCTGGCCGACACAGCAGTCAACACGGACGAGGCATGAGGGCCTGCACACTGCCGGCCCGAGATCGGGTGGCTGCGACAATCGAGTCGCGCGGATGGCGGAGACGCACGCAATGGGGAGGCACACTGCAATACGTGTGCATGTGTACTGCACAGGCGTGCGACGCCGACGGACGGTGTGTGGTTTGGCTTTTGCGTTTGTCACGCTTCCCAACTTAGCCGCATGCATTATTTATTTAGCTGGACTGGAGATCAGAGTCCCTTCCCAGCGCAGCTTGCTGCACTGGCACTGATGCTGCCATCCAAGTGGTCCAAACTATTGTATAATTTTGCCCCAACCTGTCGACCTACTAGAGCCGATTAATTATAATGTGCCACGCAATGCAACCTCACGGCCGCCCGCTCGCTAAGTCTTCCGCCCCTTGCCGATGAAGTACACCTTAGGCGAGAACTGAACCCACTTGACGAATTTCGAATCCCATCCGTCTGCCATCGGCTGTGGGTCCGGGCCGGCGCTCCATCCGCTACACCGCCGAGGGAGGCAGCCCGACCAGCCAGCGTCGGCGTTTCCCGGAGACCCATCGTGGCGTCCCTCCTCCCTGCCGTATCAGCTCCGGCGGTTCTCGGCACCGCGTCTCCTCCCCGCCTGCTGGTCGCGGGTGGTTAAGACTGAGGGGACACCGAGCGCCACACGGCTGCCTGACTCACTGGATGGCGTCACGGCGTCACCGTGAAGCCATGGCAAGCCATCGTAAGAGATTAGCAGCTACTTATAGCAAGGGACCAGCGGTGAACCAAAGAGGATGTGCTGGCCGATCGGGGCCCACCGCATGACGCCCGGGGAGAGACACAAAGGCCGGCTTTGCCAAGAGTGTCGCAGCAAGCCAACATGACAGCCAACATGACACACTGATTGCACGGGAAATTAATGAAGCCATTTCAGGCCTAAAAATCTCGCGGATGTTTACCACACTGGTGTATTGCACCTCGAGGGTCGGAAATAGCTGACATCCCAAAAACTGGTGTTGTGCTTGCAAACGAACGCGAAGGATGTTACCAGCATGTTTAGAGTGCTTATGTAAATGAACGGTAATTCCATAAGACTGCCTCTTATCTTTTAATCAAATGTATTTATATACGATTTAGCCACGAAACCAAAACGTTATGTAATCATGAGTGTCTATACCTGAGTCGCTCGCTTAAATTTCATTAAGTGCTTAAAGTACCCAGCAGGGAGAAGCAGAGACTAACCACATACAGCATCATCATACTACAGTTACCACAGCCACTGCACATGTTGACATGAGCGCCAGGCGAGAGTTATGGCGGCACCAAATCACCTACACTAGAGGATGCCGTGACAAAATCTCCATTCGCTGATTTTTCAGAGAAAAAGCAATCCCATCAACGCCCCACGTGGCCGTTGTGCACTGTACCGACAGAGTCGACGGCAAGCTTGCGCATACGCTGTCCTCATAAGTTCCACAAATGCTGAGTGAACCGTGACGTCATGTTCGGACAGGTGAGCACCGCAGCTTTGGGCCCGGCGTGTGTGGTCATCGCACATAAATCAAGGTTATGATGCAGTTCGTCAGGAAACCGGGAACGCGTTCTTTTGAACTCACCATCCGATTCGTACAGGTGGCAATGCAAAGTCACTTTCCTCACCGGGGAATGCAGCTAGTTCTGGCGGATTTTTCCCGATTAGCTGCGATCAAACAGGCTGACAAACCGCCGGCGGTTGTATAACGACGGGCCTAGCGCCCCCACGCCGACATTTTTACCGGGACAAATCCACGTTCCGTCTGGCCCCGTGACGACAAGACACCGGAGAGGCCGCCATCTGCAGCATCTGCCTCAAGTCACCATATGAAAAAACCCCAAAAGGCAATCGTCACGCTATCGGTGATTTAGAGGCACCTCGCGCTGGAGCGCGCCTCTCGCTAATCGCACGCTCGGCCCACCGGCCTCTCCGAGTGCATTCCTCAGGCGCTTCCCTCGAACTCGGCCGCCCGCGTGCCTCCACCTGTAACAGGCTCTTCAGCGGCGTGCGCGACGCACCAGGGCTGAGGTGCGGGCGCTGCTGTCACCACGCGCACGCCGCCGCAGCGCCGCGCC